CTGATCCCTGAGGAATGCTGCTCGTTAATGGTCTCAACTCAGACACTGAGCCATTGACCACCACTCTGAGTGCGACCATCCAGCGGTCCATCCATCAAATCCAAGTCTCTCCAGCTCAGAGACAAGGGTGTCGTGCAGGACGGTATCGAAGGCTTTGCACAAGTCCAGGCAGATGACATCTGTTGCTCATCCTCTGTCCACTCAGGTCCTGACCCCATTGTAGAAGGCCACCATATTCATCAGGCACGATCCGCCCTTGGTGCAGCCATGTTGGCTGTCACCAATCACCTCGTCATTCTCCATGTGCCTTAGCATGATTTCCAGGAGGATCTGCTCCATGATCTTGCCAGGCACAGAGGTGAGACTGACTGGCCTCTAGTTTCCTGGGTCCTCTTTTTTCCTTTTAAAGATGGGGGTTACGTTTCTCCTTTTCCAGTCAGCGGGAACTTCACCAGACCGCCATGACTTTTCAAATATGACGGAGAGAGGTTTTGCAAGTCCATCTGCCAGTTCTTTCAGGACCCACGGATGTATTCCATCATGTCCCACGGACTTGTGTACCTTCAGGTTTCTCAGGTGTTCTAGAACCTGATCCTCACTGACTATGGGTGGCTCTCCAATGCTGCAATTCATGCAGCATTAAGGCAGTTAAGGAAACCTTTATCTTGGAAGTAGCATACAAGAACATTACACAGCATGAAACCCTTTGGACAAATGATTTAAAGTGGGTTCATACACTGAAAATGCACTGTTTACCTCCTCTTTTCAAACTAAGTGATGCGTAACAAGAAGGTGCATATATGAATGGAGGCAAAACATCGCTTGAATTTACTACTGCTTTGTAAAACGGGTCACCCTTGTAATATGAATCAAAGGGAGAACAGAAAAGAGATTAAGCTTATTTTCCCCAGGACAAAATTTACAAACTCTCTAACAGAGAAAGCTTGTCTGCCTACTTTCACTTCCCCTCACACTGCCAACTCAGATGGGTTTTCAGTCATCTGGCAAAAGCAGAGGGAAACCACACCTCTGAGCAACTTCACAGTGGAGATTCCATCACATGAAACACTTAAGCAGCTGCCAAAGCTAAATCCCACTCCCTTCCTGTCTGCTGAAGGAATGCTTTTTTTTTCCTTTGCCTGATTTGCTGCTAATTGCTCTCTAGCTGGAGTTCACAATACTCTTAGAGGTTACTATTACTTCTGCTACACTGCAAGAGTCCTGGAACTTTCTCCTTCATGTGTCTTCTCCATAATCAGAGTACCCTCTCTGGTTTAGCAACATAAACAGCGTTTGTTTGATGTTCTGAACTTATCTGGAGCATCACAATCTTATTGCAAAGAAAAAAAACATAGTGATATACTTCGCTAATGGATAACTTGTTCTCAACATTTATACCTCACCTTTGACAGAAGCAATTTCACACAGGAAACATGGCCCTCGTAGACTGCTGATAGGAGTGGTGTGATATTATGTTTGTCTGGAGCCTGTAAATTAAGACACAGTTTTTTGAAGCACAATTTCACACAGCATTAAAAGGTTTCACTTCACTGCACTATTAACAAAACTAAAGTTAAGGTAAGGAGTTAAGAATATTATCCAGAAATGCATTCCCTCAGTATTTTTGACTTCACTTTTTAAAAGGAAAAGTCATTGTTTAAAAAGCAGTCAGGTAACAGCAAGATATTTCTTCTACAAGACTTCTAGGTATCACAAAGGCTATCTTTTTTTTTTTTAGGCCAATGATAGAAATCGCTGTTTCAGCTGACAAATTCTGCCCAATTTAAAAGCACTACTCTTACTTCTCCCATTTCTCAGCCAGCCTGACTTCAGAAACCATTTTTGGCTGAAACACTATTTGAGCTGCCTCTTCCTCTCTAAACTACAGTCCTGGAAATAATAAGAAATGGAGCAACTGAAATGTTATTTTATTCCTCCTCTCCAGTTAGGAGAGCTCCTGAGGAACAGAATCATTCCAGATATAAAGGAAAAAATCTAAACTATTTTGTTAAGAACTACAGCTAAGATGTCTTACACATTAACTTTCAGACAACTATACTAAAGCACAACATTTGAGGCGTATTGTTAAAGTATTCAGAAACTTCAGTTCATGGAGAACTATGTATGCTGTTTTGTAGTGCCGATACAGCCCAGTCAAGCCTTTTCATGACAAAAAGCCACACATGCCAAGCTGCAGCAAAATGACTAAGTTTGCATAAGAAAGAATGTTCTCCAAAAAAGGAGAGAAGCACACCAATTTAAAGAGGCAATCCTGCCTTGGCCAAGGATACACTGCACTGTCTTCTGAAGTTCCTTCCAATAAATGTAGTAAGTATTTCATGCAAAATTTATTTAGATGGGATTACTGTATTTCTTTTTCTAACTGTGGTCAAATTAAATTTAAACTTCTTAACTCCAAATATTTTTTCCTGTTGTGACCAAAAAGAATAAAAACATTTAATAAACGTAATTTTAAGCTTCTAACCTCTGGGAGACCACCTCTCAAATATTTACACCCATCAAATTGTTAGTTTGACCTACTTCGTTCCCTAACTATTTAGGCACTTATACTAATCCCTTATGTGTGTGTATAGGGACATGTGTGTGTCTAAGACCCGAAACAGCCTAATATCTGTTTGCAAATTGATGTACATACATTAATGTCAGCTCCTTTCAATAGCAGAAACTCCAGAATCTCAAGTTGTCCACAGTCTGCTGCATAGTGAAGAGGCTTCCTCCCACCTTCAAGTGTCCGGTTGACATCTTCACCCTTCAATGTAAACATAATCTAATAAGCAAAATTTTATTCGTAACACACCAAGAGCAGCTTGGAAAAAAAAAAAAAAACCACCCAACCCCAACACCCTCAAATATGCTGAAGAATGTTCCATCCAAATACTTCAGTCATTGCCCAAGAAAAAGGAAATTTCATTTGCTTGATTTCCTTCCCTCATCTATGCATTCAAGACTGTAAGACAACCTTAGTACCTCCTTCCACACTGCATCTCAGGTGTGGTGAGTACCCAAGGGCACTAGTTAGTTAACTACATGATTAATAAAAAAATTAAAACATTTCTTAGAGTTTTTAAAAAAATGCTCACATTGGCTCATTTTTATTCTCCTTCCCACCAACTGGGATACTAATCACCTAAGTTACTTTACCTAATTCTACACATATTAAAAGTTTAGCACACAGAGAAACCAGATGCACAGAAGTAAGTCAGCATCATAACTACTTGCAAGTGAGTACATACCATCCATAATTTAAACCCCAATTATGAAACTGTCCATTCTGTTTTATAAATAGCACCTGCCAATTCTACATTACACAAAAAAGTCTGAAGACAGCCAATCAACTCAGGACTCAGGAAGTTGCATTCTAATACCACTCGTAATAGTGGATTGAGACATCTCTTCAGGCGTAAACAAAATTTAATTTAGTGAGTGCCTAATCAGCTTTGTTTCTTCACCTTGGGTTGTGCAACTAAGGATAAACTGATTTGCTGCACTTCAGTAATGAAGAGAAGTTACTGGAAACCAAATACTGACAAGCTATGTGCTGAATTCTTGCACATACGAACAAGGAATATATTTTAGCAGGTGGCTAAATTTACCATCAAACCTCAAGTCCCACATCTCCGCAGAAAAACAATCAAAAGAATTTCAGCTGCAGCACCAATTCATACTTCTTTACATAGCCCTTGCAGTTCCCTCACTTCTATCCCAAATCTCTAGAAAGTTCACAGAATAGAAGGCTTGACATATATCTTCCAGACATTACACTCCTTCTAAGAATAGAAGATTGCCAGGAAGAAATCTTATTCTGCATCTCATGTTCTATATTAGTTTTACACTACCAGCTAAATAACAAGACAACCTCAGAATTTACATCTCCTATCAACAGGATATTCAATTCTTCTCACAATATACCCTACTGAAAGTCAAAGCTACCCAACAGTGTTTAACTTCAGGTGTTTAAATAAAACACTACATTGTGTGGAGCTGGCTCTTCTTACCCTATTGAAGGTTCTGGCTTCAAAGTAGCATGAAGCAGCAGCAAGTAGCACAATGAGAAAAACTCTGCCACCGCTGTTACTGACCCTGAAATACGGCTCTGGCTTCTGAAACACACTGGACATCAGCAAAAAGATAGATTTATCCATAGTTTAAGAACAGCAATTATTTGTACTTCTAAGCAAAGTCTACCACAGCTTTAGCTACGTGGACTATCAACAAAATACAATAATTTATAGTGTCAAATTCCAATGTGACTAACTCAAGGTCTAAGTCTTCGTTTACCAGTAAAGTCGTTGCAGAAAGTCATGATATAACTTTCTCTTTTGCTGAATTTCAGTAAAAAACGTTGGTGGAGTTATGTTAACAACTGTGTTCCAATCAAAAAAATATCATCCAGGTCACAGTACACTAACAGCACACAGATGGCCACACTGCTCTGAAAAGCATGTAAGAAAACAGCATATACTTAGCTTATCCAGAAAGGTAAGCTCTACCCATATTCTTATTTGCATCTTGCCACTTCCCACCAATTTTAAGACAGCTGGCATTTAAATAACACGTGATATTTGCAGATACATTAACAATTGGGATGCGTAAATTTAGGAAGCCTACCATGTCACTACTCCAAAACAGGCTTTAAAAGCTCCTGTAATGTCTAACACCTGCTAAGACACAGTAACCAGTAAGAGCATAAGGAAGGAGAAGCAAGCTAACTCTTGGGACAGCACGCAGTAAAGTTCACATTCAGAAAGAAATTTAGAATCATGTTTTAAGATTAGGCCAGTCCAGTAAAGCTCTGGACTATAAGCTTCTTTAAGCTTATAAATATTATTTGGCTCACTGGCTTACACTATAGGATTCTGGTTATTTTGTAGTTTTTAAATAACACACCAGAGATCCTGTTGTTCCTTAAGATGGTTGTTGAATGAACTCCTGCTGGATAATGAAATTCTGGAAGGAAAAACACCCAAACACCGAGTTTTTCTAATTTTCCCTTAAAGATGATGAAAGCATATTTGTAGGGGAGTACCTAGCAAAAAGTCTGTGAACAAAGATATCCCAAACACAGTTTTATTATTCAAGTCCATGTAATCTGAGAAAATGTAGCAGCAGCAGCAAGTCAAACATCAGAAAATTTAGTCTGAATTAATAGAACCAAGATATCCTGTAAATTACAAAAATAAAATTAAAAACCCCAAGTACCCATAGAATCCTCAATAAAGTCAGATAGCCACTTGTTTCATAGGTGTGAAAAGCCATCATAAAACTGTAAATGCAGTCTAACACACAGAAACTTGTGAAAACAAGAAAACACAGAACTCAGAAAACTTGCAGGACTCTTCACAGATAATTTCCTTCTGGCCTTTAGATCTCTTATTTATATTGCCTGGGGTATCTCCCCATAGAAAGAGCAGTGGTCTCCAAAGTGGGGTGCAAAAACCCAGAGGGCTGTGCAAGACAATCCACTGAGGTGCGAGAATATTTTTTTTGCACCGTTAAGGTGCGCATCTAAAAAGTGATTGACTATGCACTAAAGAATTAAAGGATTCACATTAACAAAGAAATTATGTTTTGTAACTATATCAACAAACTGTAGCTAAGATAAGAGAAAAATCTAAGAGTAAGGTGAAGACCTGAGTCCCCTCTCATAAATAAGGCAGCTACAGCAAAGGTGACTAAGTCAACAGAATGAGACGAAGTGGTCTCTCAAGCCCTTTAAGAGGCTGAGGCAGGAAACAGCACAAGACAAAGCTTCAAAGAAGAGTTGTCTATGTAAAGTTTTCTGAGATCACTGTGGTTTTGAATACTATTGGCTGAAGACATCATACTGAATGTTATGGACTTCAGGTACCAACAACCTTATCAGGTGATGATTCTCACTGTTGATCTCAGACTTCATGGGACTATTTTCACTTTCTAGAGTGGACCTACAGATTCACTAACAATTGTGCAAATGTTTGTGCAAAGCCTCAGAAAATAATTTGCCCTTGCAAAAGGAAAGACAGGACCACCTCTCTAATGACCTTCCAGAATACACTGAGTTTATTTATTCAGACACTTCGGGCTAAGTCTGGCATAAACCTCGTCAGTAATGTTTTCCTTTGCAGATCAAAGACCTAGGGCACCAGCTACACAGTAACATTAAAAACCGGTTCAACAAACGAAACGTCAGAACCAGCAGTTAACAGGTACCTGCTTTAATCCCCTCTATTAAAATCTGATTACATGTAAAGAAAAGCCTCTCTCTGACCCTCCAATTACTACACAAGACAGCATGAAAGAAGATTTTTACAACATGTTGATCTTATGTCCTACTTAGAAAAGTCACATACATGGATAACAGCAAAATATTCAATTAGAAGGACCTTAGGTATCCGCTTCACTTGAAAGCTGGCTATCAACTTTCCACTGAAGGACAGGAAAACAAAAACTTGAAGCTCAGTTCAAAATACTCTCAAGAATTTTCTCTGATTTCTAAATAACTAATAGTAGGGTTCATTATAGCGTCCTCTGAATGCAACTACCACCTGCTTTCTGTAATGGAGCAATTAAATCCATAAAAACATCTGTTCTAACAAATTTCTTAAGTGAGTAGCGTCAAAATTAGTTACTCTTGAACTTAATTTTTCCACTACCCTTTATCTCGCACGTTTTCCTTGATCTACTTTTTCTTGCCAATGTACCTACACAAAAAAACAGGTTGTACCTCATGTTCCGGTTTAACTCCAGTCAAGCTTTGGCTTCTTTACTTTCATCCCCGCAGACCCTGGGAAAGTGCCTACCTTCTCTTGGGTTCCCACCCCCAGTTCCACTTTTCATGCTCCCCCTCTTGCATTTGAGCCCAGAGAGGAGTTCCTTGATAGCCAAGCTGCAGTCCTGTCATGCCTGCTGAATATCCCAGAGTAATCTGGAAGGATATACACCTTAATAGCTGCCAAATTTCATTCCTTATTCTTTTGAGCCCTAGCTAAAAGAATGAATCAGATTTCACTGATTTTGTCCCCAATGCACGTTATGACATCAGTTCATTGAAAACGTTGAGTGAGAAAGTTTAGTCATAAATTACACATTCTAAAGCTCATTGTTTTCCAGGCAGATTATTTAACCACACCAAACTGACACTGTCCTTGAACAGCCCCCACCTTTTCTGTAGGCTTTACTACACAGACTGTAACCCATGCCTCCCTAGGTCTACCCTAAGTCCCGCCTTTCCCAGCTCCTGACAGTTTCAAAAGCATCAGCACCTAAAGCCAGATGTACTAAACTCATCCAGCGCCAGTCTAGCATCCCCACAGCATACTCCACGTTTCAATGACACACTTTGCAGTGGCACACCAACTGAAACTGCATCTGAGCAGTCTATTCCCTTGGGCACCGTGGGTTGTCAGTATTGTTGCTCTAGAACACTACTGCCATGCTATGTCACAGTTCACTTATCAGTTTAGCACTGATTTTCTCCTGTGTAGCAGTTACAGTATCACTACTCCTTGCCACAGTTAGATCCTTCCCACCCCTGCATCACAATTAAAGGCTGAATAATGAATCCAACAAGGGACCTAACCAGTCAGAATTAACTGAATCATTTTCTCCTTTCCAGCTGAATCTGTTCCTTCATCTGATTCACCACTTGGCACACAAACACAACAGAAATAAGTAGCTGGGATTTACACTGCAGTTCTACTACAGGAATAGAGGCTGAAAACTGTGACCTCATTAAATCCTATTGCATAGGTTAACTGTATTAGTAGAGCAGTATCTGAAATACTG